TACTTGTGTGAAATATAATTCTCTGCTCCACTTATCTTAGAAATCAGCGAAGAAACCATTTAAAAAATGTAGAGTCAGAACTCAGAATACAAGTTTCACTAATTAAGTCCAATATAACAAGGCTTGTAAATGAAATGCAGCACCAGCCTTCTCATTAAGTATAATTATGTGAATATAATATGTTCCTTTTCCCCCCACCCAACTTGTTTTTAATAAGGTGGTACAATTTTGTACAAATTATATTCATGTCCTTTTCTAGATTTCATTTTTATGTAACATTTTGGATAGGTGTGTCATGTTAATGATTTATGTGCTTGTAATTTCAGTTTGTCTAGCAACAAATAAAGACTATTATTCTGAAAATAAATTTTGACTAGGCACAGTCAAAATTGTAAAAACATTGACTGGTATTATATAACAGACAAGTTTTGACCAAAAACCTAAGTATCTGTTAAATATTGGTTAAGTATTTATGATGTTCCTAATATTGCCGTTTTTTGTAGCTCTGATAGTGTGATTTCTGAGATCTGCAACAGTTTATAATACTGTGTGAAATTTATTGATATTATTTCCAAAATCCCAGTAACTACGGGGACCAACAAAGTGTCTTTCATCTACAAGCGAGATGTTTCAATTGGTTAAGTATTTATGATGTTCCTAATATTGCCGTTTTTTGTAGCTCTGATAGTGTGATTTCTGAGATCTGCAACAGTTTATAATACTGTGTGAAATTTATTGATATTATTTCCAAAACCCCAGTAACTACGGGGACCAACGAAGTGTCTTTTATCTACAAGCGAGATGTTTCAATTGCCAGCTTCTCTTGTGTTTTGTTAATTTTTCCAATTCTTTATTTTCAACTCTGGCATCTCTTGGAATTGCAGTGTTGTCTTCTTCTTTTGTATGGAATAATTCCAATAAAATATTTTAATAATAGTGTGTGCATTAAGAGATTAACTTATTTCTTCTTTTTCTCCAAATTTGAAGGCCGTTCATGAGAAACTTTAAATTATACTTTAGGTTTTAAATCTTGAGTTAAGTCTTGGTGGTCCATGGCAACAAAAGATATTTAAAGGGGGTCTGTGACAAAGAAAAGGTTAATAACCCCTACAGAAGAGAGATTTTGTTGAAAATTGTCACTGGGTGTCACTCTTGAGTCCCTAAATGTTTCAAAAATAGGTTTCCTATTAGCTCATGGAAGGGGAAGGAATTTGGTTTTTGATCTGAACTTTTTTATAACAATTAGTCTTTGGTGCCATTACTAATTCATGTATATAAGACCATGGTACTTAGCTATACTTGATGATTACAGAACATGAGTTTGACTTAAGAAGCATACTTCTCAGAAATGTTTAATTATGGTACATCAGTTCATCTACATTGGCTTTTAGGCAGAATGACTATGATTATTTTGGTTTCATAAGTATATGATTTTTTAAAAAGTTATATTGGAGAATACAACTTTCTTCCTTTTGCTTTTATGGAGTTAAGTATCATGTGGATATAAAGTCCCCATGGAAAAACTTTACATAGGAATTTGCCATTCAGGAAATACTTAACTCCTCCTTAACTGGAACAGTCAACAGAGCCAGTCCATGACATTTTGCTGCAGGAGACAAAAAAAGAAAAAAGAAAGGCTTCTACTTTCATGTCATGTGCAAAGGCTAATCGATGTGGCAGCTGAATTTTTCTTCAGCAGTACTTAATAGGACAGTGTCCTCTATCACACCTTTAGGAAGCAGCAAGCTTGGGGGAAAGGGCAGGCCATGTAGTTTTCCACCACCCTCTTGTTGCTACCTCTTAGCATTTCCTACATAATGCACCCAACTAATTCCATGTAATGATAGTACTGGGGCTATAAGCCAGGAATTCCCCCCTCCCTTTGGGGCCCCTCTGATAGATGCTTCAAACTTAACCCCTTGTTCTAAACTGTCAATATTTATTAACTTGGTACAACAGATGTGGTGGCACTGCAGGTTAAACCGCAAAGTCTCTGAGCTGCAAGGTCGAGAGATCAGCAGTTCGAATCCACGCAATGGAGAACTGCAAGGTCGAGAGATCAGCATTTTGAATCCACGCGATGATCTCCCGTCACTTGTCCCAGCTCCTGCCAACCTAGCCGTTCAAAAGCATGTACTGTAAAATGCGAGTAGATAAATAGGTACCACCACGGTGGGAAGGTAACAGCATTCTGTGTCTAGTCGCGCTGGCCATGGGATCATGGAAACTGTCTACAAACGCTGGCTCTACGGCTTGGGAACGGAGATGAGCACCGCGCCCTAGAGTCGGACACAACTGGACAAACTGTCAAGGGGAATCTTTACCTTACAACAGAGACAGCAGCAACCATCTCAGTCATCAACTTATCAGTGCCATCCAATGGGGAGAGGAAAGGATTCCCAGGGCTTCCTCCCAACAGTTCTTTCTCTATTCAGTCCTTCTGCCCAATGGTTTCGGTGGCCTGCATCATCAGTTCTGCCATGGGCCTCAAAGGCAGCAACATCAACAACAGTGGCACAGGTTATCTCTTCCACCACTCCTCTTCTCCCTGTTTTCTGGCTGGCCCACCAACTCAAGACCTCAGGGAGAGGTTCAGTCTGCCCTGGGGCGGAGGTTTCTCCACACTTCTCTGCTCCATCTCTCTGCTTTGCCTGGACTGCTAACTCTCTCTGTCTTTTGTCTCTCTTGCCTTTCAATCTCCCTCCAATAAAAGAGCTTCTTTGTGAGTTGAGACCGCCATCTCCGCTAGACTTCTTCTGCTGGCACTATCATTCTTTCCCATTCTGCAGTCCAGGGATTCTCTAGAATGATAATTTGTTTATCTTTTTTACCATCTGTCTATCCTGCCTCCTCTGCCTTTTTCTTTTTCCTCCTTTATATACTGTATTGTTTCCTCTCCTCCACTGCCCCCCCTTCCCTTCCTCTTTTCCCAAAACAAGACTGTTGTCAGTTCCTTCTCTCTTTGCTCTTTCGCTGCCTCCTGGTTCTGAGGGTGGATGACGGTTGGCGTTTCCCTTTTCCAGGGAAGAGGGGACAGCACATGGGCAGGTGGGAGGATTCCCGTCCCCTCTCTCACATTGACTTTCTAGGTCTTGGTACCCCAATTGTAGAAAGTCAGCCTCAAGACATATTCATCCATTTCTCTTGTAACTATTTTCTAGACTCCAGGAAAAGGTTAGCTAGCTTACTTCTTTTAATGCAAATTAGCTTGCAGCTTTTTATAGATTTTCTACAGGCTTATAACAAGCTCCAAAAGTTTTTTTCTTGTTAACTGAAATGATTTTGTATTGCTCACATTTTACTATTAATGCCTGTTACAACTTTTCTAAACCATGTGTGTATATTTCATCATCTACTGTATATAATAAAATAAAGTTAATATATATTTCCCCAATTCTTCAAGCAACCCAAGACAGCAAAAATAGCCTATTTTGGACTCTGAAAATAAATTAGTATGAAAGATAATAACTAGCCAATAGGCTATACAGTAATTACGTACTGAATGGGAAAGTGAACTCAGCCGTTCCCAGTTTTCCTCTGACACTCTAATTCAGGGATGGGCCACATGTCTTCTGATGAATCCTCTTTGGATAGCCTATCTCGGCAGGGCCAAGGAAGAATTGAAGCCCTGGCTGGCAGTCCTTTCACAGAAACGCAAGATATGGAGGCAACACATGACCCTGCCAAAGGGGATCCAGTTCCTTCAGGAGAGAACCGCAGGACTGAATGAAGAACCTTTCAGAATATACTGGAGATTCTGGCTATTCAGGCAAACCATGAAGGCAGTGTGGGCATTCTCAAGACCAACCAACCGCAGCAAATACTAGAGGTTATAAATAACAATACATTACTGGCAAACTGTGAGAATCAATGCTGCATTTCACATTTGGTAATGACTTAAAATCCTTTGGTTGATATTCAGTCCTTTTAAATGGGTCTTATATACTTGATCTTTGATGTTTCTCTCTGAAGCCTTGTTTTGTAGAACCTGTGCTATGGAAAATAACAGCAGATAACAACAACAAAAAATAAGAAAATTATTATTATTATAAGTATTTTACATTTGGTAATGGCTTAAGAACCCTTTCTTTATTTTATTGAGATTGGCATTAAGAATATGTACATATTTTATCCCAGCTGTCTTCTTCTGGATTCTTATTCTTTGTTATTTTCCAGAATAGTAACTTTCACATCCCATAGAAGGGTGCTTGTGTAGACTGAAATGGCCTGAGACAAGTTTTTGTGCATTTCTGTTCTTGAAACGAGTTTCATGTCCATTTATAATTTTCTGCAGATGGTCTTGTTTGATAAATACCCCGAAAGACCTTTTTGGGGGGGGTCAATGAATTGACAGGTTGTCATAGGTTGGAAGTGACTTGAGGGATTTAAAAAGACCCAGAAGGGCCCCCCGGGGACTTTTTGTTCATTGTTTGCTCTACCACCGAGGTGGGGAAACTTTATAGCCTTCCATATATATATTTTGCATTTCACCTCTGATCAGCCCCAGCCGGCATAATCAAGGGTGAGGGACGACAGGGAAGTAGCCGGAGGGCGAGGCTTCCTCCTTCTCTGGGTAGGGACCGCCCGGGGGGCCAGTCCGGAGGAGCAATGGGGCTGGATCACAAGGATCCTTCCACTGCCCCCTCCCCGCCAAGCGCCACAGACTCTCCCCGGAGGGGTCAAGAGTTCGTTCTGGACTACAACTCCCATCGTCTTCAATCACCGCCCATCCTGCCGGGGAATGACGGGCTCTGAAGGGCCGAGGCGTCTGCAGGATTCGCCCCCCCTCACAGGCAACCAAGGAAGACACGGAGGGGCGGGAAGAGAGGGGGGGAAAAGCTGCTCTCCCTGTCAGCCAACAGGGGGAGCCCTCGCCCGGCCCCCCTCCCTCGCGGGACCCGCCCGGCCGTTCACCGGCCCCGGAGGACCATGGGAAGAAGGGAGGCCGATCACCTTCCGGTTCCCGCGTGTTTTGCTTCCGGGGCGCGGCATCGCTTCCGGGGAAAGTGTTCCAGACCCCCCTTTCTTGTTGCTTTGCTGAGGGGGGGGCGGCGGAGGAGAAGAAGAAGAAGAAGGTAGAGTCGCCTGCGATTCGGAGGCTTTGCCTTCCTGGCGTGGAGTTTGGAGGGGGAAGCGCGCCCGTCATGAGCGGTGAGTGGGGGCCGGCCTGGGAGATGCCGCCTCCCGCCAGAAAGCGGGGGGGTGGGTCTGTGGAGGGGGGGGACGGGGAGCGCCGGCGGAACCCCCTGCCTCGGGAAGCGCGGACAACTGGGGCCCCCTTTCTTTTACTTTCTGGGTTTACTTTCTGGCCCTGGGCACTGTTGCCCCTTGGCTATTCTTGGGAATTACGGGGGCGTGGGGGGGCCCCCACAAAAAACGCTCCCTTTTATACCTTGGAAAAGGACACAGAGAGAAAGAGAGAGAGAATGAAACGATATCTAAAACTGAACTCAGAAAAGAAACAATTGTGCGGCATCCTAAAGACTGGGGTTTTTTATTCCCTTTTCCAGCGTGATCACTTTCAAATTGTGTGTGGGATATCCTTGTACTGTATATTAAAATGTGAAACTGGTTTCTGTGTGTTGCCATTCCTGGTGTCCAGTTTGTGTCCATTAATTCTTTTGACTAGAGATTGTCCCGTTTGTCTTATGTAGAGTGCTGATGGGCACCGATCGCCAAAGGTGGCCTAAATAACACTGGTAAAAGAGCAGGCAAAAATATCTTTGATATTGTGTGTGACATTGTTAGGTCCAGTAGTTTATTTATTTATTTATTTTATTTATATCCCGCCTATCTAGTCACTTAAGACCACTCTAGGCGGCTTACAACAAGCGTGATACAATATAATTAAAACAATTTTTAAAAGAGGGAACAGACACTAGGAGAGAGGGGAAAAAAAAGGGAAAATCAGGAATTGGTTGAGGGGAAGGCCTGCCGAAACATCAGTGTTTTTAATTGTTTTTTAACAGCGTAAGCTACAGATCCCAATCTAACAACACACATTCTTATGGCAAAGTAATAAAGAGGGACAAACCAAGTTCTGACTCCCCCATGAAAAGAGGGAGATGAGGAAGCCACTCTCCTGGCCACAACAATTGTAAGAGACCAAGCACATCCTAGAACTGCTCTCCTCCCAGTTGTGTTGCTAGAATAAATGTGGGGGCCGGCAGAGTTGGCATCTAGGTTTGTGGCAGAGTTTTGTTCCCATTCCGTTTTATTGAGTGTCCTTGGTAGGAAGGGTTGCCTAGTGTGTCTTCTGCTACCTTTCTGTGTCCAAGCAGATGCCCCCCTTTTTTCCCTTTGCACCTTCAGCTGTCTGAACGGCTGCTTTGAGTCTGATTGCATTACAATCAAAATCCAGCTGTTTCTATTTCCTTGTGAAGTGCCTGATGAAGGCTGCTTGGATTATAACTCCAGGTTTACAGAATACAAAGGAAATACTGGGAGCGAGACAGAAAGTTAAATCAGGGGTTGCCATGCTGATGAGTTAAATTCCACTTCTCCACAGCTTGGGGTGTGGGTGCTGCATCTAAGTTGATTCATGATAGAAAATATTATTAGGATGTGTGTATATGTGTGTTTCTCTGGTCCCTGATAGGGAGCTGGAAAACTGCCTCTCATTCAGTCAGCTTGTTGGTGCCCCTGTCTATGTATTGTCTGCACTGGAGTAGGGAATATGGTAGAGGAATATATTTTGGAGGGAATGTCGCCCTCCACGGCTCCTTAGGAGGCAACACTGGCCCCTGAAGCAGTTAAACCTGCAATAAAGCAATAGTCCTCCTGATGATTGTTGTGGGTTTTTCGGGCTCTTTGGCTGTGTTCTGAAGGTTGTTCTTCCTGACGTTTTGCCAGTCTCTGTGGCCGGCATCTTTAGAGGACTGGAGTAGGAACTCTGTCCATGCTCTGTTGCTATTTGTTGGACTCTACCCAACCAGAAGGACCAGGGATCATTGTACAAAAAAGACCAGCTAATGACACCCATCAGTCACAGTGACAGATAATCTCTCCCCCCTTATCACAACAAAAACATGGTGATCACCCTATCTCCTGAAAAGGACAAAAGTTGTAGCCACAGCCATAATACTCCACTATCCAACAAACAGCAACAGAGCACAGACAGAGTTCCTACTCCAGTCCTCTGAAGATGCGGGCCACAGAGATTGGTGAAACATCAGGAAGAACAACCTTCAGAACACGGCCAGAGAGCCTGAAAAACCCACAACAACCATCAGATCCCGGCTGTGAAAGCCTTCAAGAATACAATAGTCCTCCTGCTTGAACTATTGCAAGCATTCCATCAGCTGCCCAAAAGGTCATTATTGGTGCTGACACAGGTTTGCACATTGTGGCATTTTGGGAAGAGGATCTGCTGCCCCAGACCTGGACCTGAATTCAAGGAATATCAATGCTGGTGTGAAATTGTGAATCTTGGGCACAAAAATATAAACCACAGAACTCTAGTGCCTCCTACACTAGGGAGCCTCAGGATCTCCAGTGGAGTTTTTGCACAATGTCCCTTAAGCTGCCACTATGCCCAGACAACATGATTATCAGTAAGCAAACGAGGCTGAAGCTGCATAATGTTGTCTGTCTGCTGTGTGTTCTCAGGGAGAGGAATAGCTATGCCACATGTGAATTCCTGGACTGTGGAGGCCATAGTCTTTCATAGCTTTGAAGGATAGCGAGACAAATTCATGGGTCATAAGGTTATGAACAGCTGTTGGATGGGATGGGTGTATACTACCTCCAGCATAGAGATGAGAAAAGCTATTTTTTGGAGACTGCAACACCCAGATTTCCTCCAACCACTATCTCACTGTCAGCAAGGAGTCACGTGTCACCTGCAACCATAAATTTATTATAGCACAGGCTTCTAAGGACAATAAACCAATTCGTTTTAAAGTCAGCACTCCCTCATTTTGCTGAAACAGACTGCTATTTATATTTTTATTTGTCCCATTTTTCTCCTACCTTTTCATTATGGAGTCATGCAGGAGGCAGCTCGCAGCCATAATGAAAAAGAATGAGGGCTAGAAATAGAAGGAAGATTCAGTCATAAAAACCATTAAAATCCACGCAAACGTGTAGTTAAAGTCATCGCAATAAATATTAAACATTTTTGTAAGGTGGTTTAAAAAGCAGGAAAAGTTAGTCTAATTGCAACTCTGAGAAGAGTGCATTCCACAGTGTAGGAACAATGAAAAAAACAGCTTTTAATGTGTTTGTCAAGCAAGGCCTCCCATATACACTGATATTCTCAAGACAGATTCTGTTGAAGATCTTAACATCTGGACATGTTCGAAATAAGACAGGGAGTCATTTTAGGTAGCTAGATCTCAGGCAATTTAATTTAATTGGTTCTGGAAAGCAGTTGGTAGCCAGTATCAGTAACTATATGATCTTTCAGTATCGGTGTCATAGGAGCTCTGCATCCTCCATCAGTTAGCTGTCTTAATACAGTAGTTGCATTTTTAGAAGAGGTAGCTGTGTTCGTCTGTGCTAACATGTCAGGGAAGAAGAAGAAAACAGAAATAAAAAAAGAAAAAATGTTGTGGCCTCTTAAAGACTAGCTGCTATATTTTAATGTGAACTTCCGCGGACAAATCTGAAGAAGTGAACTTGTTCATGAAAGCTCACATTGAAATATAGCAGTTAGTTTTCAAGGTGACACAATATTTTTGTTTTGTTTTGCTTTGTTTTTTTTCTTTTGTTTTGTTCTTCCTTACATAATTGTTACATATGTAACTTTTTCAAGAGTGGCCCTGTCAGGTTGGAACCACCCTGTTTCCCCGAAAATAAGACCTAACCTGAAAATAAGCCCTAGTATGATTTTT